CATGATTTGGTTTTTTTCAGATCATTTTTTGGCCATAGCTCAAACATAACCATAAGAATAAATACAGTTTATTCAAGAAAAATGCAGGGGTTACTGACAGGGTACTTCCTGACTTCAGGAACAAAGCACTAATGTAAACAATTCAGAAAAAGTGTTCTCGTTGTCCAGGTCTTCTTGTACAACCAAAAGACCGGCAGCTGGTATTTATCTTTTTCTCTTCAGTGTTTAGGGGTTAGCAGCTTTATAGAGAAGGGCAGTCTTGATCATAAACCCGAGTGCATTTGCACAAAACAATAGTTAACCTATCTCTTCCTGCCTCATATTCTGGTGCTCTGATATTATCAGTCATGTAAGAGAACTTTACCCTTTTTCTTTTTCTTTTTTTTTGAGTTGGAGTATCACTCGTCACCCAGACTGGAGTGCAGTGGCTGCTCCCGGCCACCGCAGCCTCGATCTTCTGGGCTCTGGCGATCCTCCTGCCTCAGTCTTCCAAGTAGCTGAAACTACAGGTGCGCACTACTACGCCCAGCTAATTATTTTTATTTATTGTGGAGATGAGGGCTCGCCAAGTTGCCCAGGCGGGTCTTGAACCCACGGGCTCAGGCAATCCAATCCACTCCCTCAGCCTCCCAAAGCGCGGGATTACAGGCTGAGCCACTGAGCATGGCTACCCTTCTTCTTATAATACCTTCTACTTCTCTACCTTCTCCAAAAATTTTTTTTTTGAGTTGGAGTCTCATTCTGTCACCCAGACTGGAGTGCAGTAGCCGCTCCCGGCTGTAGCAGCCTCGACCTGCTGGGCTCTGGCGATCCTTCTGCCTCAGCCTTCCAAGTAGCTGGAAGTACAGACACGTGCTACCATGTCCGGCTCATTTTGATTTATTGTAGAGATGAGGTCTCGCCAAGTTGCCCAGGTGGGTCTCGAACCCGTGGGCTCAGGCAATCTACTCACCTCAGCCTCCCAAATGCACGGGATTACAGGCTGAACCACCGAGCCCAGCCCCAAAATTTTTAATAGGAGGTAAGGGTCTCTCACATGATTGATAACATCAGAGGCAGAGACCCAGGTTCGTTTTTGTTGGGAGCATTTATGTGTTCTTTGGAGGATCTTAACTGTGGACCCCAAGATCCCCCTTCAGTGACTGCTTCCTGAAGTTTACCCTTCCAGGCTCTTATTTAATTTTTTTTTTTTTTTTTTTTTTTGAGTTGGAGTCTCACTCTGTCGCCCAGACTGGAGTGCAGTGGCTCCCGGCCACTGCAGCCTCGACCTGCTGGGCTCCGGTGATCCTTCCGCCTCAGCCTTCCGAGTAGCCGGAATTACAGGCACGCGCTACCACGCCCAGCTAATTTTTTGATTTGTTGTAGAGATGAGGTCTCGCCTTCCCAGGCGGGTCTCCAACCCGCGGGCTCAGGCGATCCACTCACCTCGGCCTCCCAAAGGCGTGGGATTATAGGCTGAGCCACCGAGCCCGGCTCTTTAATTGGTTTTTTTCACTCTAACTGGTGAGCTTATTGAGTAGGTACCTTTAAGAAGGTCCTGAATGATCTACCTTTTTAGCATCTACTTGGCCCATAAGAACTTTGCCATACCAAACACAGGTAGTAGAGGCTGCCCCATTGCTGCTCTTTCTTCTTGTCCTGTTGTAGAGTGTGCCAGCCACTCCAGTGTCCCTAATTCAGAATTCTGCAGGCTAGAAGAGAGTAACCATCTTCATGAAGGATGCACAAAGGCTCCAAGCTCCTGGAGAGACATGTCTAGTTCACCTCAAAACTCTTACCATGGTGGTTACACAGGGGTGAGCTTATAAATTTCTGCAGTCAGCAAGACTCACTAGCTCAGGAGACAGATATGGTAGACATGCCTACCAGTTCTCCAGTTTTGCAGTTCCCCCTCTTTGCAGTAAGATGAGCATTCTGTCCTCTCTTTTGATTTCTTCTACTGAATTCTTTTTGAATTTTTATGTTTCCCTAATTGAGGCTAGAGGTAGAAGAAGGTTATAGGACTGGTCTAGCCACTTTGTAGCAAGTTCTTTGGGGAGGTAACTGCTAACTCTTCTGTAGAAGGTGTGGATACTTACTGCCTGTTTTTCTCAGTTTTGTCATTTTATATAGTCCATTTGAGAGGACAACAATAGATTTAGGTTAAGAGCATGCTATTGAGAGACCCAAGAAACCAAGAAACTTACTTGCTGTAAAAGTAGCGTTTAGTTCACTATATTTCATATATCCCCACCTCATGTTTACTATATATTTTGTGTATTCCTACCTCATGTATTTTATGAAATCTTAGTACTTTAAATCCTACCTCAGATCCCGTAGAATTAGGCATATGTCGGGTTTTAAGCAGTGTTTGTATTTAGAATCCTCGGGTTAAGCATTGTCAACCCCAAACCAGCAGGCTAACTTATGTTTTTACAACGGGATGTAAAGGATAAAGCAATAAGCCTCTTTCAAACATTCCTACAAGGTGACACCAGACTTAGAGGAGCCACCTCCTCTCTAGGTGGGCTTTATCACCGGTTTATATTTCAGTGATAATTTACACGCAGTGGCTATGTAAACCTGCAGGGAACAAAGACCTTTATAAAAGTAACTGCCTTGCTATAATAAGCTTGCTATTATAAATTCCCAGAATTAGTATATGATTTTCTACCCCACATTCACTGTATGTGTTTGCAGCATTCATATTTAAAACTTTAAGTTTGGCTTTTGTTGTCCCATAATGACTATGTTATGTTGTGTAAAGGTTAAGCAAACAAGCATTCCTAAGTAAGCCTTGGGCTGGATCGGTAAACTAAAAGGGCTAATGTAACCCTTTGTCTGCCGGCTCAGGATACTTCATAAGCAGAGACTGTATGGACCTAACTTATCTAACATTCCACTCGACCCATTACGTGGGTTTCTGTCAATCACGGGCAGCACCCACCAATACCAAGTATTCCCGTACCCATTAGGAGGAATTACCCAATCATGTAAAATCAAGTTTGGAGTTCTTTCCCCTCCCTCTGTAATTGTGCATAAAAACTGCTTGCCATTGTGAATCGGGGCTCTGGTCCCCGAAGCTGCTGCTTCGGGCGTGAGCCCAGACTCGAGCCTGAATAAAGACCCTCGTGTGTTTGCATCGGAGCTGGCTCTTTGTGGTCTCTATATCTCTCTCATTAGAGTCCCAGGTTCAACACATTAACATTCTGGAACAATAACATTAATTTCACACCAGATTAAGAAGGCAGGAATGCCTTTTTTTGAGCAAAGAAAAGTTCAGTTTTACATTGAGATTCATGGATTCTCAGAGTTGGGAGAAATTTGGAAGCCATTTCATCCAACACCCCATCAAAGGCATGAGGCTTCTTTACATCAACTTGATGAGATGTTATCCAGTTTTCATTTGAACATATCCAAGAATTAGGAAAGCATTTCATAACTATTAGCTCTCATCCCTTTCAACAACTATTTGAGTTTCACCAAATAACTGAAACCCTCCTCATATGTTAAATGGGAGTAAATAATATCTTCTTCACAAAACATTTTTGGGAGGATAGAGGAGACAAATATATAAATTGCCTAATGCAATCACAGGGGAGTACAGTTAGTTCCTTTTACAGATCCTCTTATGGGACAGCACAATCTTTTTTTATTTTTTATTTTTTAGTAGGAATTTCGCTCTGCCTGGAGTGCAGTGGCACTCTCACAGCCACCACAGACTCGGTCTGCTAGGCTCAGGGGATCCTTCCACCTTCAAGCAGCTGGAACCACAGGTTTGCATCACCATGCCTGGCTATGTTTTCAATTTGTTGTAGAGACGAGGTCTTGCGAAGTTGCCCAGGCTGGTCTCAAACCCCTGGACTCAGGCAATCCTCTCATCTTCTCCTCCCAAAGTGCTGGGGTTACCGCGCCCAGATCAATCTATTTTTTTATTGTCATCACCAAGAGAAAGGCTTCCTTATGTTGAACTACTTCTTTTTTTTTTTTTTTTTTTTTTTT